TGCCAGAATGTAGTTAAAACCTTGCTCTTCTCATGTGTTTTATAGGGCTCTTACTATGTTGAAACAGGCATTCAGATATGTCACCTTGTAATTTTTCTTAATCAATTAACATCACTGCCAAATTATCTGGAACAGAAACTGGGGACATTTTGACAATTTATTATTTTCTAAGGATGATCTCGGTTCTGCCTATTGAAATTTGCTCACTCACCTCCAAGAGGAAGAGGGATGGCTTCAGGAAAATGTCTTTAGGTGTTTTTATTTTTCACAAGTTATTTATTGTAACACTAGCTCTTCCCTGCAGGAAGCTATATAATTGTTTGCTTAACTGGCAACATAGAAGAATTGCTAGCTCCTTCCTCGAGAATATACTCTTGAATTCCTTGTCACTCAAGTTTATCTATTAAAAACTCAATGGGAGGAAACAATGTCCACAGATTCCTTTGGGAAAATCTCTTCTTTCATCTTTTTTTCTGACTGTGTCAAGTAGTAGGTACCCCACAAAAATTGCTAATTGAATACATGAATAAAAACTTTCATTGAATTAAATCTCTTAAACGCTGAGACATGTAACTCCAGAATATATTTTTGACCCCCTACTGAATTATTGTTCCTGAATTCTATTTGGTATGATGCTCTGGACTTGCACTGATAATTTCTCTGTGCAGCCTCCTGTGGAACTCATGTTAGATATCTCACTCTCTATAAAGTGCCTCAACATTTCTTTTCTGGTGATAATGTGAGGGAGGTAAGTCAGCCTTATCTAGATAAATTTATTTGTTTTCATTTTATGGGTATCATGAATTGGATCACCAATCAGGTTTCCCTTTTACCATTCACTGTCATAGAACAAAATTTGTAGCTCAAAATGACAGTATGATTCCATCTTTCGTTTAACTCATTTCTACTTCTAGTTTTTGCCCCCATGTTTGTTTTTTCTTTCTCATTCTTTTATAATTTATAATTTATTATATATTGGCATATTTTATTTGTAGCTTATTGCTGTATTTTATGTTGCCCTTTAAAGATCTTAAATCTCTTTTCAAGTAAGATAAGGCATTGATAAATAAAAGTTTAATCCATCAATTAAACAAAATATTTTCTATTGTATAGAAGGAACTGACAGTTGTTAGTCTGTATTTTTAAAAGCCACTGAGACTAGACAATCTTGGGAAGAATATTTATTATTTGTCTACTAACCACCTCATACCTCCTGAAAAAACAGCAACTCATTTTTCTGGAAACTACTCTTCCTTCCACTGCAACTCTGACTCCTAGAAAGGGTTGAGGGCTTTAAGGATGGGTAACCAAACCAAGCCGTTCTAATTAGAGGCATTCCTTGAGTTGTTTACTGGGAGTTGATGTGGTGTGTGTTAGGCAATCTTGTCCTGTAATGGAATTGAGATGTAAAACTTAGGAACTGTCAGTGATCATATTTCCTGCCACAAAGAGAAAGACTGACTCAGTGTATGATAAAGTTGGCAGAGAGGAGAGGCAGGGAAGAGAGAGAGAGAGAGAACATTAAGTGAGAGAGAGAAAGTAAATGAAAGAGATCTGGCATCGTTCAAGTTCCTGAGACAGTCAGTTCCTGAAACCCAACTTAATGTCTTCCACATGGTTTAGATATTCACTACTTCTTTAGATTTTGTGAGATAACAAATTCATCTTTCTCAATCTGGATTCAAATTGGGCTTCTATCACTTTCAAGCACGAGTCCTTAATGATATATGCTGCTTTTAAGCTTTATTGTGAAAAATTTTGGCCCTAATCCTCACCAGCCCCACAGTCTACTTTTGTGCAAGGGTATAATTTACTCTTTGACTTGGAAAATCTATATCTGGCTCTAATTTTCATGTAAAAGAAAATCAGTTTTGTCTCTTAATGATATGGTATAGAAAACATTTGAATTTTTTTTGGAAAATATTAATATTGCAAGCATTTTTCTGTTAACTCAAACTCAAATTGTTTGCTCTCTTGATTATATCAAAAGTTGGACCTGGACAGTGGTTTTCGGAGAGATAGGAACATGATAATTAGCATTTCCACATTGTCTTGCCTCTATTTCCATACCAAATCAATAGAAATCTACATGCCTGGATGAGCAGAGTAGAAAAAATGTGATTTTAGACCAGGAAGACCCAGATTCATGTCTGAGCTTTACATGACCAAGATCCTCAATCTCTTACAGTTCCCCTAGGAAACTCCTAGAAGAACAGTAGTATGTACCTCCCAACATTATTAGGGAAAATATATGTAAAGCCCTAATACAGTGTCAACATATAATAGTGGGAGTTATTGTCACTTTGTTGGCTCACCGTAGAAAGACCTTTCAAAAACTTTAACAATTTGCCTTCAGCTTTTATTCGGAATTCATACCCTCCCCAACACCTACAAGCTGTATTTATGTATTTTCATCCTTTGTACTACTATTAGTTATCTAATCCTCTTTAGAGAAATATCCTTACACGATATCCTTCTTTGAATTTTCTCCTAGAGGAAAAAAAAAAGACATTTCTAAATTGCTCATTTTCTTTTTATGTTGATGAAAGCATGTGAACTCATCCTGTTGCCCCATCTTCTTTCTTTTTTCCTTTTCTCTTTGACTATCAGTAAAAAATAGAGCTAAATTTAATGCTCAGTTGCATTAAACTAGATTAAATTACCTAGTTATTACTTCCTTAATTATTTTAAAACATTATGTATTCTTTCAGTGGTAATATTGTATGTGTGACTTCAAGTAAGCTTACATTATTCTTGGGAGTAGGCATCAGTATATAAATAACAAATGCAATAAAGGCCTACACTATTTTAGCAACCCTCAGATGAAGCATGACTGAGCTAGGAGTGTGAGGGTGGTAGCTCTTTTGTTAGATAGTTGTAGGACAAAGTGCTCCAGCTCCCTAAAGATCACACTTCAGGCACCGGTTCTACATTGGCTGCCTCCTATTTTCCCTTCCGGTCAGGCTTTGTGAGAGGTGCCCTGTCTTTCAGACTCCATAGTCCATGTAGCCCATTGCCTGCCAGCTATGAATGAAAACCTCAAAAAATTTCTTCAATTTGAGTCAAATTGTTCACAGCTAAGGGCAACAGCACACTCAGGGAAGGCTAAATCTATTGCTGACCATGCAGTAGACATAGGGAGAATTTATATCTTTCTTACTGACTTGGACTGTCAATAACCTCCACTCTCTGAAGAAGACTTGACCCCCATCTTTGTGTCTTGGCTGTTATGACACCTACATTTGTTCACCCACCATTTTTGTCTGTTTGTGTTCTTGTAGCAAAATACCACAGACTGAGTATTTAGAATGAACGGATACTTATTTTCTTAGTTATGGAGGCTAAGAAGTCCAAGATCATGGCTCTGGCAGGATTGCAGTCTAGTGAGGGTTGCTTTTTGTCTCTAGGATGGCACTTTGCTATCATATCCTCCAAAGGGAAGGAGTGCTGTGCCCTCATATGGTGGAAGGGACTAAAGGGGGGGGAAGGGCAAATTTCCTCTGTCAAGCCCTTTTAAAAGGGAACCGAATTCCATGCAGGAGGGCAGAGCCCTCATGACTCAGTGACCTAAAAGTTTCACCTCTTAATACAGATGCATCAGGGGTCAAGTTACAACATGAATTTTGGATGGGGAAAACATTTAACCCATAGCACCACCTGCATCTCCAACTAGAACAAGACCTCCTTGAGGTTAGAAGCTGTGTCTTACTCTTCTCAGAATCTCCAGCGTACCCCACGAAGCTAGTACATGGTTTACACAATATGTTGAAGGAATAAACATATCCTCAGCATAGCAAGTTGAAATGATTATTAAATGACTGCTTTACACATTTCATTGATCTAAGATATAAGAGCTAAAAAATATGGAAATAATCATTTGCCACCAATAATAAAGTATAAATAGAAATTATTCATTACAATTGTATTTTGTTCTCATTTCCAGAAATCAGATTCATGTCTTTTGTAAAGAATGTGTAGTCTCAGGATAGTGAAGTCCTGCACTTAAAGGGAGATAAGGCGTAGAAGAATCAAGTTACCTTTGTGGTTGTTTTGATATATCTGGAAACATCTCTGATAAGAAAATGAAAGCCAGGAAGCTTTTCTGGAACTGTAGGTTTTATGTGGCTACTTCAAATATTTTGTGCCATTCTTCAACTATATCCAGCCCAGGAGTCTTTGAGTTTTGAATATTTGCCCCCTAGAGAACCACTTGGGACAGTTGCTGTCTGGTCACCACCCCATTCTAAGACTGCCTTTTGGGTTGCATACACTAATGCTACCAAGCCCTGACAAACTATCTTCATAGAAAAATAGAAAGCAAATTCTAGAGGTGAAACATACATATGTATCTTTTTAAAGTAAGGCTTAAGAAAAATATTTTATGTTTCCAAATTCCAGAAACTGTTTCTTGACAATTTCTGAGATTAAAAAAACACACATTCTTTATCTAAGTCAGAAGCAGCAAGTTTGAATTAGTCAATGGAATTTTCACCTATATTATTTATCTACATCATTTATCACCTATATAATTTATCTACATCTTATCATTAAATATGTCAGTTACAAGGAAGGAATTGGTATGATTATTTTCCTAGAACAGTGGTATATTCCAAAACAGATGAGAAACCCAAGTTAAAGGTCAAGGGAATTAATTTCTTTCTTTATTTTTTCATGTTTTAGGAAAGAATCTTAACGTGTTACTAACTTCAAATAACTCTCCATAGGTATTCCATTTTTTTTTAATTACAAAATACATTCTCTCAGCTCTAAATACTTCCTAGCCTCTGACTCTTGCTAATTGGCCTTTGAAAGTTCAAACAAGATCAGAATAGCTTATATTGGAGAAAGTGACTGTCACAGTTAATTTTATCTGTCAGCTTAGCTAGGCCACACTACGTAGATATTTGGTCAAACATTTTAGATGTTTCTGTGAAATTTTTTGTTGTTGTTGTTGTTTTTTTTTAGATGAGATCAACATTTAAATCAGTAGATTTTGAGTAAAGCAGATTATTTTCCATAATGTGGGTAGGTCTCATCCAATCAGTGGAAGGCCTTAAGAGAAAAAGATGAACTTACTGCAAGAGGGATTTCTGCCAGCAGAATGTCTTCAAACTTGAGCTGCAATACCAACTCTTCCTTGGCTCTTTAGCCCATCCTGCAGATTTGACCTTGTCAAGACTCCACAATCATGTAAGCCAATTTATTACAATAAATCTCTCTCTGTTTCTCTGTCTTTATCTCTCCCTCTCATTTTATATATATTGTATTTAATGAATATATATAACTATCTAATACATAATGTCATATATTATACATAAAACAGAATTAATATATAATTATATATATAATTAATTATATATAATTTATGCATTTATATAGTATATGTAAATATATAATCCAAATAATTTTATATATATTATTAAATATATAAAAATATTACAATAAATCTCTTTATCTCTCATTATATATGATTTACACATTAATTATGTAAATATATAATTATTTTTATATGTAATATACAATTATATATTATATACAATTTATATATTATATAAAATTTATATTTATATGTAATATAAAATTTATATAAATTGTATATTATTTTTATATAATAATTATATTTAAATCACAAATATAAATATTTATGGATTTACAGTAAATATATTAATATAATTATAATTATTTAAAGTGTAATTAGATAAATATATAAGTATATAATTTTATATACTAATTATATACAAAATTATATAAAAATGAGAGAAAGAGATTCATTGTAGTATTAATTTATATATATTTATTTATATATTAAAATATAGAATATATTTTATACATATTTATTTGTATTTATTTGTATAATAATATTTATCTATGTGTATTTAGAAATATACATTATGTATCATACATTTTATATATGAGACATGCTCTGTTTATATATTTTTTATATATGGCATGTATCATAAATATATATATTAATATGTAATGTACATACACATATATACACACCTATACTATATATAATATAGTATATGGGAAGCTTACCAGATTTCCAGTAGCAAAACTGTTATATATTTGAACTATGCCCTGTAGTACAGATTATTGTTAAGAAATCAACAAAACAGAATATCTGGATAAATGTTTTTTAACTCATCATTTTCAATATTGTTTATGCTTCCCAACTCAAGAGTGCCTGGGAAGAATTGAGAAGACATGAAAACATGGATTTTACTTGATCAAAAATTAGGAATCCTGCTGTCAACTCATATTGACTTTCAATGTCTTGAGCATTGTTTCATCTGGCTGAAAAAATGAATTTTGGACAAATGAGAAATAAATGCTAAATTAGAGTCCAAGTATCAACTTGTTACTACTTAAAAGCCCCTTCTATCTAGATTTAGCTTAGTATATGTCACAGCCAGTGACAAGTCACTCATATGGAGAGGACAACCAAGTCACCACATTACTCAACTGTTGTACAAATTTTGCTCCTAACCTTGTCAAGAATATATACATGTGTATGTGCACATGTACGTTACATAAGTACATTATGTACATTATGTAAGGATATACATGTGTGTGTGTGTGCATATACATTACACACACACACGCGCGCGTATATATTCTATTGTTTGTTTCTTTGGAGAACCTTGACTAATACAATGACCTTTTATTCTATTTGGTCGGTGGAATCTGAACGGCCTCAAAAAGTGATGTCAGGTAGACTCTTCATTTTATTGGTCTGCCTTGGTAATCTGTTACAATCTATTACACTCTTCCAATTATAATTAATTACATAATTACAATATATTAAACATTAAGAGAAGAAGCTTATTAAAGTTAGTGTTGGGTTTGTTGCTACAACAAAATACCACAGGCTTGGAAATTTGTAAGCCACAGGCATTTATTTCTCATAGTCTGGAGGCTGAGAAGTCCAAGATCAGGTGCTGACAGATTTGGTGTCTAGTGATAGCTGCTCCCTGCTTTAAGTAGGCACTACTTGCTGCATCCTCACACAGAGGAAGGAGTAAAAAGGGAACAAAGAATGCTGTCTTCCCACGACAGAAGAGATGGAAAGGCAAAAAGGTGCTAAAGCAATCCCAACTTCTTTTATAAGAGCACTAATTGGCCGGGTGCGGTGGCTCACGCCTGTAATCCCAGCACTTTGGGAGGCTGAGGCGGGTGCATCACAAGGTTAAGAGTTTGAGACCATCCTGGCCAACATGGTGAAACCCCATCTCTACTAAAAAAATACAAAAATTACCTGGGCATGGTGGCGTGTGCCTGTAGTCCCAGCTACTCGGGAGGCCGAGGCAGGAGAATTGCNAAAAAAAAAAAAAAAAAAAAAAAAAAAAGGCACTAAAAGCACTAATTAGTTTAAGAAGGCAGAGCCCGTGTGGCCTAATCAACGCCCAAATGCTCCTTTTCTTAATACCATCACTTTGGGCTTTACGTTCCTTTTGGGCTTTAAGTTCCAACATATGAACTTTGGAGGGACACCTACTTTGAACCACAGCAGCTAGGAATAATTTTTAATTTATATATTCAAAAATTTGGCACGTCTGTTATGGAGCAGACAATTGCATGTGTACTGGCAGTGTACTTTTTTAAAGTTTAACAAGTGTGTATTAACACACTTTTAATGCTTTTCTGCTCACTGCAGTTCAAGCTATGATTTTGGTTTGAAAATCTCCTGTGGTTTGGGTTGTGACATTTAGCACCTCACTGTAAAACAGACACAGAAGTGATCCTCTTATCTAGCCATTGTTCTACCAGGAACTTGTTTCCCAGGATTTTTGCTGACCAACTTGCATTTCAGTTGCCTGTTTACTCCTGGAAGTGCAGATATGGACAACTGGAAGTGCTGGAAATGCTGGTCCTGGACAATAGGGCAGGTTTGATGTTGGGCAGCTTCAGTTCTAGGCTTGACTAAGACAACACAAGTGCTTTTAACTTCCACACCCCTCTCTGCAGGATGTAGCAAAACCAGTAGGAGCAGAGCCAGGCAAAGACAACTTTTATTTTCTCTTCCCTCTTTCTTACCTGCCCCCATCATGTTTTAAATGAACTGTTCCAAAGCATGTGATTTCCTTCCCAGGGGCCGATATTCTCCCAGTTCCTCTGGTTGGTGCAGGCCTTTCCTATGGGTCCCAGCAGGTATGTCTTCCTCATGCACCATGTGCCCATTTTCCACTGAAATGGGTTTAGGGGAATGGACAGGCAGGGTAAGTGGAAAGTCTAAACAATGGAACAAACCAATGTCAGCATTTGCAGTTCTGTGAATAGGAGGTTATTATGGGTTCTTTTTATATGTAAGCAGCTGACTGTCTTTTATCGGAATAAAAAAATGTAATTATCAAAATCCATATATGCAAAACACTCTCCATAGCAAGCAGTGGTATGCACCGACCATATTTCTGATCCGGAAACCAGTCTTTAATTAGAGAAGCTCAGGTAGAGGGAAATAACACTTCAACCTGATCAGGTCTATTCAGAGAAGAAGGGGTGGGTGAGAAAGCCCACCTCGAAGGAATCAAATCCTCTCTGGGCAGTTCTCCAACCTCTAGCTTTATGGACCTCATTTTCTGAGTGGGAAAAACCCATAGTATGGCTCAATTAAGTCAAAGCTCATAGTATGGCCCAATTAAGTCAAAAGATGGCATCAAATTATGTTAAAAAGAAACTTTTTAATTTCATAAGGAAGAGATTGCAAATCACACTTCTAGAATGAATAGGAATTAGAGAGAATGTTATGGAATCAACTCATATGAGAGAGATTCAGCCTCAAATATTCTGAGAATATCTGCCTTAACCGGTTGAGAAAGAAGGTAGACTGTTTCCTTTTTTAGTCTTTGCTCTTTCACAACCATGGCAGTAGGGTAATTGTTTAACTTGTGAAATGCCTTTTATACAATCGCTTGGGAAGGCATTTTGTTTATAATGTGATACTGCGCCAACTTTCAGAATTCCTTTCTTTTGTTTTTAGGTCTAACATGAAACACTGACTGTTCCCTATCTTCACAGCCTCTTCTCCATCCTCCCGCTGCCCCTGCCTGCTTTTTCCCTGCCTCAAATCCCAAAGTCAGCTATCAGAAGAAGAGATTACAAGTAAATATCTATTTATTGAGCAGTCATGGAATAGAGGGTTTTTTTTCCTAAGTTGTGTACAGAGATGAATTTGTCAACAATTTTATTAAAAGTATCTGAGGTAAAGAAACTTTTGAATGATACTAGGGATTTTTAGCAATAAGTGTGAGAGTTTGGGGGCATATAGCACAATGACAGGTTCCAGAAACAGAGACCTGCTTTTTAATTTAGTTAGTTGCCTAAATATCATTCTGTTTCTTATTTGTTTTCTTTGCCGGCTGTGTCAGCTAATTAACTTCCATTAAGATATATTATGAGCAAAGTTTTTTGTTTTTGTTTTCACTGCAGAGAATATGTTAACTCATAGTTACTTGAATTTAAAGTAACTAAGTCCATTAAAATGTATTTTAATAGTTTGGTTACTGGGAAAAAAATAGTGATTTTAAGCAATTTTTGTTGGTAGAAGAGTAAGACAATCTTTTTCCTTCTAATAGCATAATAATATATTCTTCAAATATGTAGAGAGTATTGCAAAAATGTGTTTTCTAAAGATGCTTATCTATTTTGGCTACCAAAAGAGAAAGGTTTTCTGTATTGATTTGCCTGTGGAAAGATTTTCTGTATTTGATTTGCCTGTGTGGAAGACATCTGTAAGCTATTTATTTATTTATTTTTACTTGCTCTGCACTTTTTCCTTCTGGAGAAACAACCCATTTCCTACTTCAAGGTCAACTAAATTCAGGGTCAATCAAAGGTCAGTCGAGTACTCATTATTCCCTCTGCAAACTGTGATCAAGAATGGGCAGGTGGCTCAAATCAGGTTGTATTTCTAAGTGCCAGGAAGAGTGGTGTTTACTTTCACTAGAATCTGCAGCTGTTAGAATAATGGAGCTCAGAGGCACTGTTTTGCCAAGACTTGGAAAATCTATGTATTAGTCAGTTTTCACACTGCTGTAACAAACTCCCCGATACTGGGTAATTTGTAAAGGAAAGAGGCTTAATTGACTACAGTTCAGCATGGCTGGGGAGATCTCAGGAACCTTACAATAATCGTGGAAGCCAAAGGGGAAGGAAGGCATCTTCTTCCAAAGGCAGCAGGAAGAAGTGCTAAGCGAAGGGGGAAGAGCACCTTGTAAAACCATCAGATATCCTGAGAACTCACTATCACAAGAACAGCATGGGGAAAACCACACCCATGATTCAGCTACCTCTACCTGGTCTGTCTTTTGACACATGGGGATTACAATTCAACATGAAATTTGGGTGGGGACCCAAAATCTAACCATATCAACCTATGAATGAAGAGCACATCAAGGCAAGCATATCCAGAGGTGAAGAAGAAAGCCTGGTGACATTGCATGGTCTCCTCAGTCTATTCGTACCTGACCCACTTACTTAAGATGAGGTTTCCTCCTTTCTGTCTGTTTGCTTAAGGTAATTTGAGATATATTTCTTGCTTAACTTTGAGAAAGTTCTAATATACCCATTAATCTTTAATTAAAATGTAGTTCATATGATCATATTTTGCCTAGTACATAATATGATTTCCAAAATCTTGTCTAGATGGGAAGCTTACCAGATTTCCAACAGCAAAAGTGTTATATATTTGAACTATGCCATGTAGTACAGATTACTGTAAGAAATCTCAACAAAACTGAATATCTGGATAAATGTTTTTTAACTCATCATTTTCAATACTGTTTATGCTTCCCAACTCAAGAATGCCTGGAAAGAATTGAGAAGACATGAAAACATAAATTTTACTTGATCAAAAATTAGGAATCCTGCTATCAACACATATTGACTTTCAGTGTTTTGAGCATTGTTTCATCTGGCTGAAAAAAGGAATTTTGGACAAATGAGAAATAAATCTAAGATCCAGTCAGAGTTCAAGTATCAACTTGATATTACTTAAAAGCCCCTTCTATCTAGATTTAGTTTAGTAGATCTCATAGCCAGTGACAAGTCACTCATATAGAGAGGATGGCCAAGTCACCACATTACTCAACTGTTGTACAAATTTTGCTCCTAATCTTGCCAAGTTGTTGGTGACTGTGCAGTTTATAATCCAGGGAAAATTTTGTTTGTCATTCTTACTTGGTTAACTTACCCATGAAGTTTGTCATTAATAATTTGAATTCTCTGGATCTAATAACTTTAAAAATAGAAGCAAGAATCCCAGGATACTAATTCTGTCCAATGAGTCACTTTTTATTTCTGCCAACGACCCTCTAGGGAATCAGTCTTAGGTTTAAATCCTATAAAAGCCATGGATGAATTTTCTAATGGGTAATGCAGATGGGTGTGGAAGTCTGTGGCTTAGGAGTAACTTCTGAATTACAGAATGAATGGCAAGAGAACACTTGCTATCAACATTCCTCCTCCAGCCACCTTTTAACACTTTAGGATATAGGAGACAGTCTTATGAGTAGAATATAGAGCACATTTGTTAAAGAAATGTTAGCAAATCACTTTACTCTGAGCCTTCATTCCCTTTTATAAAAATGCCAATACAAACTAATCAACATAGCAAGACCCCATCTCTACAAAAAATTTATAAAAAGAATAGCTGTGTGTGATGGCACATGCCAGTAGTCCTAGCTACTCGGGAGGCTGAGGTAAGAGTAGGTTCTATCACTTGAACCAAGGAGTCTGAGATTACAGTGAGCTATGATCATGTCACCACAGTCCAGCCTGGGTGACAGAATGAGGTCCTGTCTTAAAAAAAATGAAAAAAAGAAAATGACAGTATGCTTTCTAAGCATGTTTATTGTGGAGATAAAATGAAGATTCAGAATGTAGGTGAAAAGTGTTTAGAAATGGAGGTTCAACATGTCCTTCCATCATGATGTGGTCCCACTTGCCTCTCCAGTCTTTCCATTCGCCATTATCTGCTCCCATTATCCCAAACTCTATACTTAGTCTTAAATATTATCTGATCTCTCATGCTTCTGGAATCTTTACAAATACTGTTCTGACCCTGTGTTCTCCCTTTCCCCCAAATCCCACCAAAATCTAGCTACTCCCCTCATTGTTCAGGTTCCCATTCATATCCTGCTTTCTTCATCTCCTCAAACTGGATTTTGGGATTTCTTCTATTATGGCACATGGTTTATTATGTTTTGATTGCCAGTCTTCTTATTTGTTCCCTTCACTAGTATGGCTTTGCGCATGTCATCAGACCTAGATTAATGAGGACACTCCCAACTGTGTTCAAATTGGATTATTAAAGACTTAGAAATTAACTAAAATGAATATGACATAAAAAGTTTAATCTTGGCTCCTTCAGAGATAACATTCGACATCTTTAGTATTCCCTATCCTCAATTCCTTTCTTGTGTAATGATTGCAACATGGGTTTGACTTTTGAAAATCAGGATTGTAACTGAGTAGATGCTATATCAACAATGACAGTGATAATGTCTTCTAGATTAAAAGAACACTATTTGGTGTTCTTAGAACTATTTGGTGGTCTTAGAAATCGAAAAGTTCTATCCTATTTATTTAAAATAGTAGCTCAAAAGATAAACATTCTGGGCCAGGCACGGTGACTCATGCCTGTAATCCCAGCACTTTGGGAGGCAGAGGTAGGTGGATCACCTGAGGTCAGGAGTTTGAGACCAGCCTGACCAATATGGTGAAACCCTGTCTCTACTAAAAATAAAAAAAAAATTAGTTGGGCATGGTGTCATGCACCTGTAGTCCCAGCTACTTGGGAGACAGAGACAGGAGAATTGCTTGAACCCAGGAGGTGGAGGTTGCAGTGAGCCAAGATTGTACCAAAGCACCCAAGCCTGGGCAACAAAGCAAGAATCTGTCTCAAAAAAAAGAAAAAAGAAGAAAAAGAAGAAGAGAAGAGAAACATTCTGTTTTAGTCAAATGGCCTAGATTTATTTGACCAGCATGTGCATGCAAGCGTGTTGTAGGGAAAAACTGAGCCTTCTTACGAAAAACCTTCTGTTGTAATCCCTAGGTCTTTAATGACCCCTCTCATGGAGGCCCTGAAGCTGATGTGTAAGGGCAGATTAAAGATGGAGAAGGGTACAAAGCATCTCAAGTTTTGTTCAACTACTTGCTTTCATTTATCACACTTGCAGGTTTTATGACTAGTTAAACATCTTTTCATTTGTACTTGATGGTTAATTTTTTTCTAAATCAATCTTCCGTGAGAAGACGGAGGGAAAGACTGGTTAGGTTTTTCTTTATGCTCAAACTTTACACCTTGGAAATATTTATGGTTCACTCTTGGTTCTTCTTATCCAAGGGAAGTAGCCTTGCTAATTGAATGAAGCTTAGACATCCTCAAAACCTGTCCTCTCACAGTCTGAGTGAGGAAATAGGCCTGGAAAGGTCAAGAACTCCTCCAACATGGCAGAGGCAGGTTTAGCACCCAGGTGTCCTGGGATCTCTCCCTAGCCCGTCACTTTGACTTTTGGTCTTTCACCACTTGATCTGGTCATGTTGCAGAACTTTTAGGTCTGTCTTGGAGTTATTGCTGTCTAAATTGTCATCAACAAGTCTTTATAATCTGCCAGTATTTATTTACATCCTCTCAGGGGTGATAAAGATTTATGTGATGGATATTTGTTATTTGAGGAGGGATTTCACTTTTAAAAATAAACAAAATAATTTAGAGGTAATTTGTGAGCAATACAGGTAACTCTGTTTTTCATTTTTTCCATTAAATGCCGAGAAATAGCTTTAAAACAATAAAGTCAGTGCTGGTGGTGGCTTAAAAACAACCTCTAAAGTTCCTTTTAGAAAAGGAGTTCCAGTAAGTTTAAACTGATTTCTTACTTATTTTAATATGTGAAAAAGTCATATAGCTTTATAGATTTTATAATGTCTTCACAGCATGATGATTTGCTACCAAGTATAATCTAAATTTCCACAGGACGGTTAGACTTAATTGAGGTATTATCATTCTACAAAGCCAAACTTCTGAATATCAGAATGTTCTCGTTGCGTCTACAATAAGCATAAGAATTTAGAGAATTCTGCATTTGAATTTAGGGTTTTTCTTATGATTGGCCTAAGTGTAAATATTTCATATAGCTTTCAAAAAAGTACCAATTCCAGAATATTTTTTTCCTTTCAAATTTGTGTTTGGTCTAGTGGGAAGCATATATGTTAAGAAACAGAATCATAGATCTTTTTTAGGCAATAGAAAAATTATTTATATGGATTTATATTTGTGTATGTTCCTATTGTAAAAAAATTGTCTTAATTCATTCTTACTGGCATAGCAAAACTAGATAATCCCACTTTGCCAGTTACTGTAACCTGTTACTTCTTTTACTTTATGGATCAAGTAGGGAAAAAAGTTTTTGACAGTAGCTGAACTTATTTCTGTTTCTGGAACACAGTTCTACAAAAGACCAACTTTTAAAGTAAAAATGAATAAAAAATAAGAAACAATGTATGTTTCTCTTGCTAATTCAACCTAGAAGCAGATGGAGAGGCCATGGAGGTAAGTCCTGTGCTTCTATAGGCCTGATTCTTGTTTCTAATATTTGATCTAACTGTATCAGTTTATGTCTCCTGGGAAACAGACACCAAAATATAATTAGAAGAGCAAGAAATTTATCAAGAGTAATTTCAGTGAAAGATAAAGAGGAAAAGGAAGCAGGAATAGACAAAGAAAGACTCAGACTACTGTGATATAAGTCTGACCCCTGTAGAAAAGGAGAATAGGGTAGAAGGATTCGGCAGGCCTAGCCTCAAAGGGCATTAAGTATACCACTGACAAAACCTCAGCCAACCAAAAGAGAGCTCTGGTGCAAAGAGTGACAGAGGAGGAACTCTGCATAAGGGGCAGATGGCCAGGCCCTGGTACACCATACCCAGGCATATCTAGTCTCCTGAGGGCACTAGAGCAGGAGGCTCTCAACTGACTGCACTCCTCCAGGTGAATAGCAGTGTATTCATATTCCTTTTATATGAGGAGTGCATCCTGACTGCCCCATTAGTAGTGAGAGATATTACATTTTCCTTGGAAGGTGCCCTTAAATATTTCTTTTGCAGCCTACAAAAGAAATCTTTAAGGGCACCTTCCAAGAAACTGTGGGGATACTTGCAAACTGTGGGGATACCTTGGGCATATTGAATAGTATCACGGTAAAGTTGGACTCCTGAAGTCAACTCATTCACAGGAGTCATATCAGTATCCTGCATGCCATTGTTTTCTACTAAAAAGTCCCAAACTGGCAGTTCTATGTTTTAAGCAAGATGATGAGGTGCATTTCTAACAAATTCTTATTGCTAAACTGAGGGAAATATGGCAACACTGTCAAAAGTAATATGTACTCATTATCTTTTGAATAATTGGAGCAAAGCTGAGATTGTTAACAATACATAATTGGTTGACGTGCTACCAGGGACATTTCATGCCCTTGTGCAGTTCTGTGAAATCAGTTTGGATTGTGGTCTTCTAGTCCCTGGTCTCTCTCTCTCTCTTTCGTTACTCCAGCAATCCATCCTCAGTTGATAAACAGTTAATTTTAAATCACAGAGGTCATTTATAGCTAGTGTATTAGATTGTGAAGAATTGGCTTTTGCAATTATGGAGGCTGAAAAGTCCTATAATCTGCAAGCTGGAGACCCAGTAAAGCCAGTGGTGTAATTATAGTCCAATTCTGAATGCCTGACAACCAGGGGAGTGGAAGATGTAAATCTCAGTTCAAGCACAGAAGACTGATGTCTCAGCTCAGGCAAGCAGGCAAGAAGCAAAAGGGAAAAATTCCTCTTTCCTCCACTTTTTTCCTTCTATTTAGGCCTTCAACAGGTTAGATGATGCCAGCCTATACCAGTGAGAATCATCTACTTTATGGAGTCCACTGATTGAAATGCTAACCTCATGTGGAAATACCTGCATGGACGCAGCCAGAATTAATGTTTACGCCGAGCGCACCATGGCACAGTAGAGTTGACACATGCAATTAACCATCACACCTAGGAACACAGGAGCAATCAATTTTGTTAAGGGGATTCAGGGGAGCAAGAAAGGAAAGATGACATTTTGAGAAGGAAGGAGACATTTGCAAGGCTATAGGGGAGGGGCATTTCAGGCAGAGAAAACCAGACAGAGAAAGAGAGAGAGGAAGAGAGAGAGAGAGAGAGAGAGAGAGAGAGAGTCTGTGTCTCTGTGTGTTATGTGTGTGTTTATGTTGTGTGTGTTTTGCCTGGCAGGGAAGAGGGAAGGGGAAGAGTGGGTGGAATGAAATCATAGAGAGTGGCTAGAAGAGCTTTATTTTGGTTCTCATAGGTTTTAATTAGTGTCTCACAGAAGCTTTTTTGTGTTGCCCTTTGTTATGACAAGTGAAAACTTCTCCATCATAGATCTGCTCTGCTCAATACAGTGACTTTTAACCACTTGTGACTTTTTTATTTAAATTGTTAACTAAAATTAAACTAAATTAAAATTTTCATTTCTCAGTTATGTTATTTACATTTCAAGGGTTCAATGTCCATGTATGTCTACTGGCTATTGGATGTTACAGATATAAAACATTTAGATCATCACAGAACATTCTATCAGACAGCACTAAAAGGACAATCCACAACTCAGCATTTTGCAATATCATTTCTACCCTAAAACAGAGACAAAGAACTTAATGACAATATTGGGCTATACCCAATATTCTCCCTGCATGCATATATGAGCACTGCTGCAAAGATAGTTCAGAAATTTGCTTTGCATCTTCTGAAAAAATTGAACTCCTACATGCACAGAGCTGTGATAATCCTTGGCTTTCATTTTTAAACAAATTTAAAGGCTAATTGAGAGAGATTAGTATAAGAGGGGGACTCTGGAATAACACTGCTGGGCTCAAATTTGGTTCTGCCATTTACAAGATGAGAGACTTTGGAGAATGCCTAGGTTACCCCACCTATAAAATGAATATAGAAACAGAACTTTCCCATAGACTAATTATAGTAGATCATATTAGTAAATATTTGTCAAGAATTACAACAGTGCCTGGTGTATAATATATGTTTTTAGCATTAACTAATATTATTACTAATCAGCTCTTTTTTCTTAAGTAGACACTGAATCACCTGGTCTCTCAGCTGGATTTATGAATCTGATTATATTTTATTATGGCAAGTATTCAATATCCATTTATTATTGTTGTTGCTATTATTATCTTTCAAATGGCAGTGTTGCTAGAAGGCAATTAGCAGTATTCTCACAAGGCCCTACTTCCTAATACCATCACTGTGAGAATGAGCATTCTAACGTATAGATTTGAGGAGCACATAAACATTCATACCATGGCAATATGTTAAATAGAAAATGTGTCTAAAAATCTAGAAAGGGATAAGATTTCCATAAACAAGTTTTCTTTTGTTATTTCTTTTGCTTCAAAATTGTGTGACAGTGACTTCTGCTTTCTGGCAAAATGAAAAAACAAGAATAGATTTATCATTTGAAACAAATTTAAAAATCCAGCAAAATATAGGAAACAATGGTTTTCTGGAGAGTGGCTATCTGGCAGTATAGGAGAATGATACCACAGAGACAGGAAACAAACAAGACGAACACTGTGGTTGCCCCAGATTACTTCCGTAAGAGCATTTTCAGGTCATGTCACAGGGATGGAGATCACTGGTAGATTTCAGCAGATTCCCTAGGTTGAGAACAGGGAACTAAGGATCCAAGGAAGCCAAAGTAGCTAGAGTTCACAAGAAGAGTATTTACAAAAAGAGAGCTGCACCAAAAAATAATCCAGGAAATAGGCAGCAAACAGCCCCTGAGCATGAAACAGAGTACCAGTCAGTGCTCACATGTGAGAAAACTACCTGAGGCTAGGAAAAACATCGCCTGAATGAATCAGAAAGAACAGTGCCTGACATTCACAAAGGCTGAAAATAGTTCACATTTTCACCAAAGTAGAACTTTTCATAATTCATGGGGCACTGTGTAGAGTACTCAAGAAGGTCTTGCCTCAGTAGTGGGAAATAATTATACCTTTACCTAGCACTGCTTCTGGTATGCCTACCAAATCACAAAAGCGAGGTCCCCCAAAATCAAACATTTTTGCATAATTTAGCTGCATCTCAGAACAATGTTCAATTATGTTTGTAGGAATATAAAAATGCCCAGCACACACCCACTTCTGGATATATATCTAAAGTAAATAAAGTCAGTATTTTAAAGAGATATCCACCATCCCGTATTTGTTGCAGCATTATTCACAGTAGCCAAGATATGGAAACAGCCTGTGTCCATTGACAAATGAATGGACAAGGAAAACATTAGATAGATGGATAGACAGACAGAGATAGATAGATATACCCCCCACACACACATATATGTATAGATGTAGATATAGATACACAAATATAAACACACCAGGATATTATTCAGCCCATAAAAAGGAGGAATTTCTCCCATCAGTGATAATATGGACGGACCTGGAAGACAGTATGCTAAGTGAAATAACCCAGACACAGAAGACAAACACTGCATGATCTCACTTACATATAAAATCTAAAATAGTCGAACTAATAGAAGCAGAGAGTAGAATAGCAGTTGTCAGGGACCGCGGGTGGGAGAATGGGGTGATGTTGGTCAAAGGTTGCAAAGTTTCATTCATGTAGGATGAGTAGATTTTGGAGATCTACTGTACAAAATGGAGCCTTCATACATTACATTATTCATTGTAATGAATAACAATACTGTATTGTGTATTTTAAAATTTGCTAAGATGGTAGCACTTATGTTAAATGCTCTTATGAAAAAAGAAAAAAAAATAACAAAAATGGAGGAGGAAGAAACCTTTGGAAGTGTTGGATTAGTTTATGGCATTGATTGTGCTAACAGTTTCATGGGTGTATACTTTTCCCCAAGCATCGCAAATTTACATAATGACAAATATTTTGTCTTGTTTTTATATTTACAGCATTTTACACAGAGCTTGCCAGTTATACGGTAGATGTTGAACAATTTCTTTGTGTTTCAGCTGTCAAATTCTGTTCTGACTATATGAGGTACTGCATTTCTCTTTGAAACAGTCTGTGAAGTAGTTTCCTGTGTAAGACTAATAAAGAGGTACAACCCTTATTTTCCATTTTTTAAATCAAATTCTCATGAATATCTTAGAAAACCCTCTCACATGGAAGGTATAAGATTACTTCTTTTTTCTGGATGTTAGTACTAGGTAGGTACAATATATTATTAGTCTTTGTATTCCCAATGAGTGATACATAGTATGTGCTCAGTTTATTTTAGTTGAAAGATTAAATGAATGATTAAAAGCAAATTGTGTAGTGTTCAATTTCACTGGACTGGAGTTTGAATCTAAAGATATCATGTATTGAGCAATTACGTATGAGACCCTGTGTTAGAGCTGAGGATACAAAGGTGAATACAGGAATCTCTATCCAGCCTGAAAGACGCAGATGCAAACAGATCAATTATGTATCACATTGTAAATTCTTTACCCAAAGTATGAATGAAGATCTGTGGAATTACTAGTAAAGGAGACTAGATGATACTTGTGTTGAGACTTGAAAATGAGAGAATTGATTGCCAATGAATTTATTTAAACTAATCAAGGACAAAAAAAATCTTTATAATAACATGTTGAACTTAATTAAGCCTGCCTGTACAAAAGTAGACATAAATAAGATTAAGGTTTTCAAAAGAATGGATGGATAAATGCAGATATATTGCAACATATTTCTTTCCTGAATTTAATTTGTGTAGCTCCTTCAACAAACAACTTTTTAAAGCAATCTGGATGAAATTGGCAGTGGTAAGCTGTCATTTTGCAATAGCCCATCTCATTAAAGAAGACAAAAAGGAAGGAGAGCATTCTAAGTATAGAGAACAGCTTATGCAAAGGTGCAGAGGTGTTGAAGTTAATGTGACAGTGAGCTTCATGTGAGCAGAGTTTTTAGGGGAGAATATCTGAGATGGACTGGGCTAGTTAGTAAAGGACAATTTTTTCCCTCTTAAGGAGTTCAGGACATTGTCAATGTCAAAGAGGGGCCAGTAAAGGTTTGTAATTAGGGAAGCGACACGATCAAAGTGTTTTCAGGAAGGTAACTTTCACAAGCAGCATCTTGGTGGCTGCTTCCTGCTGTCCTTAGTAATTCATTAAGGAGCTGGCTATCAGAAACCAAGACTGAGACTCGGTAGGATACAAGGCACTGAATAATTATGGATTATTTATAGTGTATTACTAGAAAATTGTTGCTAAATAGATTTTGTTAAGATCTCTTGCGATATGTGCATATCTATTATTTATCCACATGAGTAATTTGCATCATGCGAGTGTCTCACTTGTGCTGTGGTTCCCGCAAACCTGCAAGGCCAACACCATCATATATAAACCTACATTCCTTTATGTAAGTGCTTTATTCTTTCACCTTGTTGACAGATTACCTCCCCTCTCCCTGTAGCATGACCCTAACTTAAGACAAATCTCTTAGGTCTATCATCTATATTCTCACTTCCTCGTTTCTTTACTTACTCTTCATGTTTTGCCTTTCCTTAATTTAGACCCTAATTTGGGTGTCTTAATGTTTATTCCTTAGAGACATTTGTTATTGAATAAGCCCTGTTATTTTTACTTGTGCCAAACAAACGTAAACTGAAAAAGATCTAAAAAGAAATCAAAAATTTTTTAAAGTTAAAAAAAAAAAACCTCACAAATCATCACTAAAGAACTTACTCATGAAACCAAATACCACCTGTTCCCCAAAAACCTATGGAAATAAAAAAAAAAATTTTAAATAAAAATAAAAACAACAGCAACAACAAAACAATAAAGCCTCTTGTAAAGAGGCTGTATTTAACAATCTGGTGCAAAGAAATATATATATATATATATATATATATATATATATATATATTTGGTAAGCTGCTTAGCTTATGAGCAAAATATACTCCACGAATGAAATTTTAAAATGTTTGGAGAATAAAGCTAAGGTAAAAAAAGAGAGAGAGAGACGTCATTCTTTCCATGTAAAAAGCCCACAGGGACCAAAGTTTGATGATGCCCTAGATTCTGTGACAGTCAACGCTGAAACAATTATTTGTTCCTTTTGAATTGCCACATTTTAGATCATTAGTAGTGGGCAAATGTATTAATGTTACTATCCATTTTTTGCTAATGTTCTCCTTTCTTCAGCCTAGTAAGGCTATAAATTTTATCAAATAAAATTTATAAACACACACACACACACACACACACACACACACACACACACACACACACGCTTTGAGACCATGGTCCCTTTCTATTTTTTCTAGTATGGAACATGCAGAAACATAAATTGTAACACTTTTGTAAACTGCTATAATTTCATTATTTTGCATTGAACATCTTCTTGCCCATAATTGTGACCATCTCAGGTCCCTGGCTTAAGCCCGTTAGTTCACATATTGGCATTGCTATATACAGAACTGTTTCCCCACGCAAATTCAAATATTGAAGTTCTAACCCTTATGACCTTTAGAGATGGGGCCTTTGGGAGATACTAGATTTAGATGAGATTGTGAAGACGGGGCCCTCATGGTGGGATTAGTGCTATTATAAAAAGAGGTACCAGAGAGCTTTCACTTTCTCTTTCCCATGTAAGGACATAGGAAGTAGGTGAAAAAATGGTTGCTAAAAAGAGTTCTTACCAGAAACCAACCATGCGACATCCTGATCTTGGACTTTCAGCTTCCAGAACTGTGCGAAAATGGATGAATAAATGAATGAATGAATGAATGAGCGAATGAATAAAATCTATTGTTTCCACTGAGTCTATGGTATCTTGTTATGGTAGACTGAGCTGACTAAGACAGGTGGTCTTTGACCCTGCTTAGGAGTTTCCTGTCGGGGTTTAGAAGCAGGTGTTTAATTTCCGTCTCAGTTCAATCTGCTATTCCAACTGCAACTGAGGCAACATGCATTTGAGCAAGTTCTGCAGCTGGCTTTATTTCAGGAGTTGTGCCTCAGTAAGGGGAAATAGCAGAAAACCTCTGACCAGTTAACCTTTTATGCTTTCATTTCCTTTTTTTTTTTTTTTTCTGTCTCTCTTTTTGGTAACTTTCTTTGACTTAAGGTGACAAGAGAGTACATTTTTCAGAAGCTAAGACAATGTGGTAGAGTGAAGCAAGCCTGGAATTTGGTGTCAGAAAGTCTAAGATTCACATCCAGGCCCTATTTGGAAATCTATGCAATTATACATCCTTTCTCTGGTGATCTGATTTCATGGGAGCTACTTTTACAAGTCTATGTTGAACCTACCTGACAGTCACACAAATTCTGTCCTGTCTGCCACAAGCTCTATTGACTTATCTCTTCCCCACCTTTATCCCCAAGGGGAAAAACAGTTGCTTTCATGTGCCATTAATTTAAACATTCTTTTATGCCATATAAATTTGTGCTTCTTGACTTCTTTTTTGAAATGGATATAACATCTGTCTGCTTCCCTCATTGAATGTGTTAAAATCTTTAACATCTATTCATTTTTATATATGTATGAAAGTCACACTTTTTAAAAATATAAAACTATTTATTCCAAAGCCATAGTCAAAACTTACAATGAAATGCATCCCTTTTAAAGACTTAATAAAAAAAAGCAATCTTTACATTTTACAAGTTGAAGACCGCTTGTTCTCACAAAAATCTCATAAAAGTTAATTCCATAAAGTATCAAATGTACTTTTCTGTTTATATAAAATATATTTTCTCTTTAAATGGAAAACATTCAAATATAGCAGTTTTATTATAAAATTATTCTCAGTTTCTGAAATTTTCACTAGTCTATAGCATCCCATTTCCACGTGAAATGGTGAAACCTTTTTCTTCAGATCATTTTTTTTCAGAGGTTGATGCCTTGCTGACGCAAAGAACAACATGCCTTTGTCATTCCTTTCATCTGAAATATTTTCCCAGTGGTTACTCAGTATTTTGCACAAAGAACAGTTGTAATACCTGTCATTTAAAAATTCATAACATGTTGTAATTTATTTTATACAATTTTAAGATCTGAATCAAAGCTATTGCTACAGCGATTCACTGTTTTCTTTACAGGCATTTTAATGAATAGTCCTCAATTATAGAAGACTCTTCAAATTCTTTAAAGTGGGAGTTAGCAAACATCTTCTGTAAAGGTCCAGATATTTTGTCTTGTGGGTAATTTTTTTGATACATTTTTTTACAACTGTAAAATGTTTTTAAAAAGTATTTATCTATGCTGTAATTTGCTGTCCCCCCCCACTTTAAAAAAATAGAAGTAACTAGTCTCTAAATTAGACTATTCAAGTGTTAATACCATGTAAACTTCACATTGTGTAGTAAAATAAATCCACGGTTTCTGACTACTAAATTGAAAGTTCATAAGCAGTAAAAAATGAATCCCATTCAAAGAGTGGGGCTACATTCCAGATATTCTTTTTAATCAATGACACTTTCTTATGGCTTCTTTTACATTTTCATTGAATCAGTCATATGTCTTAGTTTTTCTTGGTCTTACTTTTTTATAGGGAAAAATTATCTTCGTGATGCTAATTTGAAGTTTTGGAAATCAAAGACTGGAATGCTTTCATGCTGATAGAGGTAGATGCATACGCACTGGTATATGCAGTTACAAATAAATAAAATGGAAAACACTATTTCATATATAAATTAATCATTAAATGTTCTCCATGGCTAAGAAGGAATCCATGGAAACCAGATAGAAGGTACGCAAAACAGACCTACAGAATGTTCTCATTTGCTTTTATCACATGTAGTTGCTACATTTTAGGAAAATATTATTTGTTTATAAAACAAGTAAATATAAATTAATAGAGTGGCATGATTTATTCAGGTTCTTGATGCATATAACCTGGAGCTCACTAAACTGATCTATATAACATGGGCCTATAGCTTGGTATTGTACTGAGAATCACAACTGTGTGTGTGTGTGTGTGTGTGTGTGTTGCATGTTTTCCTTTCCTACCATAAGCAGTGTTATAACCAGATTATGGCAAATAAAAAAGCAGTTGTAAATTTACCCAAATACATCATAAACAAATTGGAACACTCTGGAATTACAATAATCTGACATTCTACAAAAACATTTAACAATTCTAAGCTGAAAAAGTTGAAAACTTTGGTATCCCTAAAAAGAGAAATTTCAGGGCCATGCGTGATGGCTGACATCTGTAATCCAGGCACTTTGGGAGGCCAAGGTGGGAGGCTGTCTTGAGCCCAGAGTTCAAGACCAGCCTGGCCAACATGGCAAAAACTCGTCTCTGCCAAAAATACAAAAATTAGCTACGCGTGGTGGTGCACACCTGTAATCCCAGCTATTTGGGAGGCTGAGGCACAAGAATCACTTGAACCAGGAGGCGGAGGTTGCAGTCAGGTGAGATCATGCCACTGCACTCCAGACTGGGTGACAGAGTAAAACTGTGTCTCAAAAAAAAAAAAAAAAAAAAAATTAGCCAGGCCTGGTGGCACAGGCTGTAATCCTAGCTACTCAGGTGGCTGAGGCACAAGAATCGCTTGAATCGTTGAGGCGGAGATTGCAGTGAACTGAGATCATGCCACTGCACTCCAGCCTGAGTGACAGAGTGAGACTCTGTGAAAAAGAAAAATAGAAAGAAGAAAAGAAGAAAGAAAGAGAGAGAGAGAGAAAGAGAAAGAAGGAAGGAAAGAAGGAAGGAAGGAAAGGGAAGGAAGGAAGGAAGGAAGGAAGGAAGGAAGGAAGGAAGGAAGGAAGGAAAGAAAAAAAAGAAAAGAAAAGAAAAAAGAAAAGGAAGAAAGAAGGAAGGAAGGAAAGGAGGGAGGGAAGAAGGTAATTTCAATTATATCAGGGAGTCCATGCCCAATTTTTGAACTATAAAAAGTAAAAGTTTGCAGTGCAAAATTATTGCTATTGAGAAACAAAAAATTAAAAAAGAAAAAATAAGAAAAAAATTCTTGCTATTGATAAATAGCAGTGACACAAAAACCACATGAAACACCTAACATCTATAAAACACACGACAATATCCTGAAGGTATGTTTTGGCATAGAAAAGGTAATCTGGGAATAGTAAATACCAGGTTGCTGTACTGATTTAATTCTAAATCTGGGTGTTGGAATGTTTAAACACTCTCTTTTTGCAAACAGACTCAGCATATTTATAGCTCATCACATTTCTTCTTAAATGGCCACTTTAGGTGTTGCAATACATGGTCTGCAGCCTGAAGGACAAGATACATAAATTCTTCTACATAAAGTAGTTGGTGAACTTCAGCTGCTCCCCCAGGGTTGGATGGTGGCACTCATCCTGAGGAAAGACTTTGTTCTGCCTTCGCCAAGTGATGTAGTGAACGCCTCTCAGCCTGGCCAAGTCTAAGTAACAGCGTTCATCTTCACCGTTGTACAGCTCGAATACAGCAGCCCAGTCCTTTTGAAATCGTAAGTATTCAAGTGTATAATGTTATAATCAGTAAACGCATTCCATGTGTCGGAGAATAGGTCACCATATCCATAAGAACTAGTTCCACGTGGCTGGGGAAGCCTCAGAATCATGATGGGAGGTGAAAGACACTTCCTACATGGCAGCAGCAAGAGAAAATGAACATCAAAGTCATAATTTAACCTTTTTCTGAAAATTATTTTTTAACACCCAACTTCCTCCTTTGGAAAATGGGAATAATAATAACTCTCTTATTCT